GAAGGGAAACCTAGAGAGTGGCCCGCAGTTGTCACCTATTCTGAAGGAAAGGACTGGACAGTGGGGAGCCTGGGACCTCTGTAATGCTGGAATTAGAGACTCCTCAACCTTTTTATGGGAGGTGGCATTATCCCCACCCCCACATGACGGGCTTCTGTGCTTCTCAGGTGCTAGCCATCCTTCTCTCCTTGTCTCCCTCTGGGTATCCTGTTGCTGAGTTAGGATTGTAGCCCTTAGAGTGAGATTGGGGGTGGGGGTAGCTTCCTGTGGAGGAGGTGAGGACAGATCAGGAGTTAATTGGGCACCGCAGCACTGTAGGTCCACAGTAGCTGGAGGGAAAAAGCATAGAACAAAGAGCTAGACAACCCCAGGAAGTCTGTGGACCAGTGATAGTCAGTGGTGTGGACTTAGGAGAAGGGGCTGAGCCTCCTCTCACCCCATCATTCCTAGCAACTCCAGGGGAAAGAGCAGCAGCAGGAAGAGTAGCTTCAAGAGCCCCCAAAGCCTTGCTGGAACGGGGCGGCGGTTGTGCCAGAGACCAGTCGTTTCCTCTAGGCAGGCGTGTTGCTGACTGGGAACTTCCAGTAAGTCTGGGGCTGTTCCTGAACGCCAGAAAGGCCACACAGCTGTGTCTGAAATGTCCTGTATGGAGATACCTTGTCTGCTGAATTTGGTGCTTCAGGTCCCACCAGAAGAGCTGTTCCTCACATGCTTCTTTTGCTGGCTTGTAAGGATTCTTCATCCATTCTCTACTTTTCCAATCCCCTTCTACCCTATTCCAAACTTAACTTTCCAGTTGTGATAAGGACATGGATGTGGTCTCACACCATCTGCTCTTACTGCCATGAAGTTGACCATTTTAAAAGGGCTGTGGTGGCTTTTTACATTTCAGGACAGGAAGGAGATAATCCCTTGGGCTGTCTGGATACTTGTGAAGAAAGGGTGAATGTGTGGAAGGGGCAGGACCCAGGTACGTGAGCCCCTTTCCAGCAAAGCTTTGGGGGCTCTTGAAGCTGCTTTTCCTGCTGCTGATCTTTTCCCTGGAGTTTCTGGGAATGATGGGGTGGGAGAATGTTCTAGAAACCTGGGGATTGTATGAGCCACCCCTTATGTCACTTTAAAACATTTTGTGTTGAACTCTTGCAATAAACTCGTAGAATAAGGAAGGCATGAGTTCTTTGGTTGATCTTTCCATCTTGGCATCAGCCAACTGTTGGTCCATGAACCTCGTCTGCATCCAACCTCTTTCTGAATGTTGGGCCCTGCTGCCATGAGGCTAGTACTTTCAGAAAGTGACATGGGAAGAGTGGCCTCCAACCCAGCCTGGGATTGGACTGGGCCCAGTCGACTGGGCCTTGGAGATGTAGCTACATGTCTGTCCCTGCTTCCTTAAGGGATCCTGACTCTGACCATGCCACTTGGCTGGCGTTATCACCCTCCTATTCTGAGCCATACTTTCCTCATCTGTAAAATGAGGATGTTGAGCTAGCTGATATCCAGGTAACTTCCACCTCCAATGTGACCTCCAGGGGCACAGGAAAACTAAAGACTCCAGTGACTGCCCTTCTCCAGACTGCCCTGGACTTGAATTCTGCCTCACTAGGCAACTTAATAAACAAATGGCTTGTGGAACCTGGTAGGTGAGGTTTTATGCAGGTAAATGCTGTAATCACAGGAGCCTTAAGTAAACAAGTATTTTGGTGAGCCTCTCTTATGTGCTGGAGGTAGTATTAAGAGCACTCTTCATCCAGGCACAGGTGAAAGAAACAGATTCAGGAGGATGTAGCACCTTCCCCAAGCCAACCACAGAGCTGGGATGCAAACTGCTGTCTCACTGACCAATGAACTAACCTGTTCACATTCTCATTTTGGCATCACTCTGTCCTGACTCTGAGTCTCTTCTTTGGACGTACTTAGGTGAGGGAGCAAGGTGGTTCCTCATGGTGAGGCCTCGGTGTTGGTGCCTGGGAGGATGGAGTGTTGTGAGAGTTGGCTCCAGGGGTCTGGAGTTCTGTAGAGTCTGGGAGAGCATAAGCGCAGCCAGGTGGGGACAGTAGAAGGCAGGGGTCCTAGAGGTGCCTGTAAGACGTCAAAGGAATGAATAATGGGTGAGGAAATAGGGACCTGAAGGATGGGTACACTTAAGGGACGAGGAAGGGGTGACTGAGGGGTAGTGCTGGCAGCTGCCTCAAGGTGTGCCTGTGCGGGCGCTTGCCGGGGACTGCAGATGGGCCTGTGGTAGGACCTGAGGGAGCTGGAGCAGCAGGCTCTTACCCTCTCACTGCGTGGCTGGCCAGCCTGCTAGCCCATGCTTCCCTCCATCTCTGGCTTGCAGTTTCTTCTTTTTCTGCCCATCCAACATGTTCTGACTTTTACAGTTTTGCTGTCATCCTAACAAGTGCCCAGGGAAGGGACTGGCTACTGAGTGGATATGTGGCAACACTTTACCCACCATGGAGCTAATGAGGCTACCCAGGTGCCACACCCCCTGTCCTCACAGCTGGTTGAATTGCTGATGGCACAGACCACAGCGTAAAGGTTCCTGGGTTTTACCCAGTGTTGCCCTGTGAGGCGCTAAGCCACATGAGCCCTTTTGGGGCCTCACTTTCCCTGTCTGCATAAGAGCATCAGCAAGAGGAACGTCATCCGCCAGGGTAGTGAGGATCAAGTAAGAACCAAGAAGAATATGCAGGTCATACTTCTGAGGCTCAGCTTCCAGGACTTCACGCCCAGCAAAGGGTCTATGATGGGCAGATGGGGACCCACCACCTAGCATTACTGTCTTGACCACAGCTAGTTTCCTGAGAAGTGCCAGGGACCAGATGGGAGCTGTAGTAGCATTTTGGACACATTTGACCCTAAAAGATGGAAACTACAGGAAAAGGGTCACCCGGCTCAGAGGGAAGGATAGAGATAAGGACCTGAAATGGGAATGAAGAAAAGATCCCCTATCCTTACCCCAAGCAGGAAACTCTTTACTAAGAACTTGCTATTTAAGAGGGCCCCTGGGGAGGTCTGACCAGAAAGGAGCCATTTGAGGAAGGGTTTAAAATTAGCTCTAGTGAAATGGATGGCCCCTGGGGAGAACTAAAGCTGAAGTTTCTGTGGGCCTGACCTGGCCCTACGACATCCACTGCTCTGGGGAGAAGGGGTTAGACTGGGTGTCCACATTCTGGTACCCCAAGGCAAGTGTGACTACCAGCCTGGATGAGTAGTCAGGAGACCTGGGATTTAAGTGCCAGGTCTGTTGTCTTGAAAGAACGAGTTGAGTAAACTGAGTGATCCACCTCTGTTTGAGGATTTATGCATAAATTCAAGGGCTTTTAATCAAAGGGCAGAAGAATGTAGAAAAGTCCAGGAGCTCAGTTTAGCCCATCCTGGAGCCTTGGCTGTCCAAGTTCTCCAGGTGCTTCTGGGAACAGGGCAGTGCTTAAGAGCTATGGGTACAGGGATGAGGAGCCCAGGGCTGGCCAGTACACAGAGGGCAGAGGCATATCTGGTGAGGGGAAGAGGTATCCTACATGGCGACAGCTTCTGCTGAGTGAGCTGCTTGGCAGAAACTCACATGAGGGAAGAAGCTTGCCCATGCCCATTCTTTATCAGCCCCAGACCGGGAGTCATTCTTGTGTGCGTGCAGTGGTTAGCAGCGGCTATCTGCGCTCGTTCCCTTTGCTATTCCTGGATCGTGGGGGAGAGAGGGCAAGAGGGAAACAGACAGACAGACAGAGTGTAGAGTTGTGCCTGGCTGCCTTGGGTTTCTGATACAAGCCGTTGTCTAAAATGGCTGGTCCTGGGTTTGGCAGGCATGTGGGAGACGTTCTTGGGTTCTGGGGCAGGGGATTTGGCCCACTGTAGGGCATCTAAATGCTTTCACGCACGGTCACATGATGGGCAGGCTGAGGCATATGAGCTTTCTCTTGACAGTGAGGTCAGGTGTGTAGGGAAGTTCCATTTATTAAGGTTTTTCATTATTAGAAAGCCACAGTTTCAAGATACGTTTTTCATGGTTCTAAACTAGGGAAAATCCTCCCTGCCCCATTATAGCTATTGGCTGATAGGGGCTTGCTAGGTTAGCATTGGCTGCCACAGCATCTAACCAGCAGTGGTGACTTAAGAAAGGATTCCTGCCAGCCCTCAGTTGCACCCCACCTGCACACTCAGTTTAGGAGGTCTGGTTTGTCTGGAATCATATGAAGGACATGTGGTGTCTGGACCTGGCTTTGCCACCAATCTGTAATCATTGTCTAGGGCAAGGCTTGTAACAGAGCATCATCTGCCTCACTTGAGGCTGACAAGATCCTACTCATTCTTCAAAACCCAGCATAATTGTCCAGTCTCTTGACTACTTACCCAGTTCTCTGAGTAAACATTTAGTACCAGCACCATGCTAGGAGCTGGGCATAAAGGCAGGAATACAATACATTTCCGGCCATTGAAGAGCCTCCATGTAGCGTAGGAAGCGGGAGGTGGATGTGAAGGTGGCGGGCCCTCTGTTGAGGTGACCTCAGGAAGACTTCTGTCCCATTTTCATCTTTGTCTCTCGTGGAGACCAGACAGTGTCTCAACCAGGTGTCTGTGGGTATCTTCTGAGAAAATAGATAATTTTTACTTGTACATTTTGGGGGATAGGCCACCAAAGCTTTCTTCAGACTGTCAGAGAGGCCCTTGATCTGAGCAAGGGTCCTTTTCCTGTGCACTTCTGAAAGAGAGTTCTTTCTTCTTGGCTGTTTGGCAGCAGATGGCCTGTGCACAGAGGCACTCACAGGTGTGGTACGTGGCACCTGTAGGATTAACCTGGAGAAAGGAGTGTACAGAAAAAGCTTGGAGAGGTTAAGTGCTATGAAACGGAATGTTCATTGCCTCAGTCTCCAAAGGAAGCCCAGGAAATACTGAATTCCTCCCTAAACTCTGGAAGGATTTCAGTGCCTTCCTGAAGGAAAAGCTGTCGCCCCCATCCTTCTCTCCAGCCTGGCGCTGACCACGGTGGTCTCTGTCCCCAGGTCCGGACGCTCTTTGTCAGTGGCCTCCCTGTGGACATTAAACCCAGAGAACTCTACCTGCTCTTCAGGCCATTCAAGGTGAGTGTGGATCCAGCCTCCCACAGCAGAACCTAGGATGGAAGAGAAACGTCAGGAATGAGTCCCTGAACTGGATTTGGCAGAAGGAAGACATGGGACAGTCTTTCAGAAACTGTGGCTCAGCCCTGACTCTCTGTCCTGGTTCTGCTAAGTCACATGTTGCTTTCCCTCGATTGTTTAACCCTTCTGAGCCTCATGTCTCCTTGTCTGTGAAGGAGACTGTAGAGAATTTTGGTAGACTTTGCCATGTAAGGAGTCTTTGAGATTCATTGTAGCCTTTTCAATTTGCAGATGAGGAAAGTTAAAAAGGTAAGCTCTCTGCTTCCAGATTACAAGCCAGTGGAGCAAATGGCATTCATGCGTGAAATGATGAGCCTCACCGCGTGATGCCCACCCATGTGCCGGGCCTTGTGATGTGGGACACAAGAATGGAGGGTGGAGGTCAGAGTGGGTTGTTTGCGGGGAGAAGAGTGTGAGAATGAGTCAGGCAAGCATGGGGGAAGGTGGGGCAGATGTCGTGGGTGACCAGGAAGGCATAATAAAGGCTCTTTTGACCCTGCCGGGTAATGACCACCTCTCTCTGCAGGGGTATGAAGGGTCCCTGATCAAGCTCACGTCGAGACAGGTAATTTCTCTCCTCAGTTCTTCTTCCCAGCCTAGATAAGCCGCTGAGCTTGGAACTGAGCCTGTTGCCTTTTCCTGTCTAAAGGCATTTGGGAGCTGAGACCCATTGCCTGCCATCCTGTTTCTGTCCTGGGCTGATGAGGAAGCAACCTCCAAAGGTCCCCCCTCTCTCTGGCTCTTGAAAAGGCACAGCCTGCCCTGACCATAGAAGTGGTAACCCTGACCATAGAAGCTGGCTCCTGAAGCCAGGAGGTCAGGGACCAGAGCATTTAGGGGCTGTCTGAACTTTGAGATGATTCTTGTCAAAATGAAGTTGGTGCCAAGTTTTCAATCCATTGCTCCTTGAGCCTGGAGTCTTAACCATGCGCTTGACACATTGGTGTCAAGGAAGATATAGATAAGGGGGGCATTGGTTTCCCCTTTCTTGCCAGGAAAACCCTGGAACTGATTCTAAATTACTTGCAGTTTTAAAAAGACACTTACTAAAGCAGCTCCCATCAGGTCACCTACATGGGCGACAACAGCCCCCACTGTCAGAGCACTGGGCTCCCCTTCCATCACCCTGCTCCTGTTTAATGCTGTAGAATGATGGTCCTTGGGCATCTTCTGGGTGGGAAACTTCTGGTTTCTGGTGCATAAGAACCTCCCACTGTTCCAGCCAGACATGGGGCATGGGGAATAGCTGCTGGGTTTCCCACCTTCCCTGGTCTTTTTCACATCCTGTTTCCAGTGAAATGATGGAGTTTTTGGAGAAGGTGGGGAAGATGGAATGTTGGGAGAGATACAAGAGTATATTCTCTCTTTTTCCTGCTAGCCTGTTGGTTTTGTGATCTTTGACAGCCGGGCAGGAGCAGAAGCGGCCAAGAACGCATTAAATGTGAGTAGGTGAATAGGTCTTTCTCTGACCCACAAACCTCCAGGTCATGGGTATCCCTGTTCTGTCTTTTGCAAAAGCCTTCTTCCCTCACTCCACACCAATAAAAGGGCCTACAGATGTACCTTGTTTCCCAGCTATCCCAGGGCAGAGTCTCTGGTTGCAACATCTGTGCCAAACACTGCTCACAAGGCCCACACAGCTGGTCCTGTCTTGGCCCATGTGTAGGAGTCTCTCAGGCTAGCTGCAGTTGACAGTCTGGGTCTTACAGGTAAAGTCTTTCCTTTCTTTTCCTCCCCACGTAGGGTATTCGCTTTGATCCTGAGAACCCACAGACCCTGAGACTAGAGTTTGCCAAAGCCAACACCAAGATGGCCAAGAACAAGCTAATGGCTACACCAAATCCCACCAACGCTCACCCTGCCCTAGGAGCACACTTCATCGCACGGGACCCCTGTGAGTGGCACCCTGACCTGCCGTTCGCTGCCCTCTTACTTGGCTTGAGCTGGGGCCCTGTTGGAGTTACATCCTGAAAGCCAACATTGAAATTCTTACCGAGGGAATCCATCCTGCCTGCCCCTCTTCTAGGAGGCTTCTTGCACTCATAGCCACCCATCTCTGTGGGTTCCACCTTCCTTCCTTCCCTGCCACCTTTGCTGGGCCTCAGACAGACTGAACTCCTGAGCCGTGAGAGCTACCCACCTTCCCTGAAGCCTGCTCTGACTTCTCTTGGTTAAGATGGACTGAGGCCTCTCTGAGAGCTTTGCAAAGCAAACAGCGTGCTCACCGCCAGGCCAAGTTAGCATGGCACTTCTTTCCATGTTCTTGGGGCCCTTGAGGGGAGTCTGGCCTGAGTAGGGCGTTTATGCTTCAACCATAATGCTAGTTCTCCCTTTCTCTGAGTGGAGCAGGGTGATGGAAGGGGAGCCCAGTGTTCTGACAGTGGGGGCTGTTGTCTCCCTTGTAGGTGACTTGATGGGAGCTGCTCTGATCCCTGCGTCCCCAGAGACCTGGGCCCCATACCCTCTGTACACCACAGAGCTGAGCCCAGCCATCTCACATGCTGCGTTCACCTACCCGGCTGCCACTGCTGCTGCCGCCGCTGCCCTGCACGCTCAGGTGAGCCCTTATGGGGGAGAAGCTGGAAGGGGAAGAATGCAGGTGCCAGGCTGGCCGGGCTTCGTACCTGCCTGGCCACTGGGCCGCTGTCCCCAGAGCTGTGGCAGAACTGTCAGTGCCCTTCGTCAGGACCCTCAGGATTAGGCTCCCATGGCAGGGGAGGGATAAACCTTGAGGCCACGTGGAAGATACGGGAATGCCAGGTGCTGCGAGACCAGCCTCTGTCCACCACACCTGAATTCTGCTCACTGCCTCTGGCCACAGAACTTCATTCGAACCCCAGTCCTATCCCCAGTGTGGTCAGGCCACCCAGGCCACCCGCCTCTGCCTCCTCCTGTCTCTATGAACTTCAGAAAACTCTTAATGATTACTGTGTCCTAGATTTTTATTATTTAGAAAAATAAGAATGTTTTTTGCCTTGTGGTTGTGAATTAAATGCTCAGATTTAAATGCTGAGACATGGGAAGTGCTAGAACTGTGCTTGGAACATCCTGAGTACTCTGTTTGCTCTTGTTTTCGTGAGGCTTGGACGTTCTCCATTGTGAACATGTGCTGGGGCGGGAAGATGGGAGCAGGCATTTCTTGGGGTGAGTTGAGGAGACGGAGCTGGACCAGGAGCCCTTGGGCACCATCGGCTCCATGCTCACCCAGTGCCCCACCAGGTGCCCAAGAGGCAGAGGAGCAGATAGCGAACAGACACTCAGGTGTTTGCTTTGTGAGGCAATGACAGGACACCACTTGGTATGGACAGAGTGGTGAGCCCCGCCTTGGCCTCTGGTTAGCAGAGTGACCAAGAGCTGAGCCTCAGGAGGATGACCTGGCCTTCCTGATAGCGGGGGGAGGGGTAGTGAGGGAAAGGATGTGAGAAGCCCAGAGGGAGAATTCGCAGGAGCCGGAAACCAAGGTGGAGAAGGGAGTCCAGTCATGTTCTGCCTGAAGCGAAGTGCATGTTCAGCTCAGGTCTTTTGAAGGGCTTGGTGACACCTGGGTTCACCCAGTTCCAAGGTGGAAGGTGAGATTCCCTGGCTGGCGGGTCCTTTCCCCCAGGGGGGTGTTATCCCTGGCCATTGCAGCTTTAGAGTGTACTGAGGCAGAAGCGTAGTTAAACTTGGCGCTGTTCCCCAGTCTCACACCACACACAGCTGGAAAATTGATCGGGCATAGGAAGGTAGATAACGATCCTCCTCTGGAGGGAAATGTTTGTGTACTTAGCACCAGCCCAGTTCTGGGGTGGGCGTAGAGTGGTGAGCGGGGGAGACCGTCCCTGTCCTCTCTGACCTGGTGGAGTGAGGAATGTTTAATGGAAGGCGCCCCACCAGACTTTGCTGCGCTTCTCACCTCTGGACCCAGCTTTGCCACAAGGTTACTACCCGATCTTTGGCAGGTGACTTCTCTGGGCCTCCAGGGGTGTCCTCATCTGTAAAGTGAGAGAAGAGAGGTTCTGTCCGATCATCTCTGAGATACTAGGCCATGATGGGGCAGAGGTTGGGAGCCAGGGACAATTAGCCTGTCAGGTTAATAGGGGAGAAGCACCCGTGCCCTACGCAGGGTGGCCCCCCAGTACCACCCGTCCTTGCTGCTGGCTGGTGCCCTCAGGTTGTCTTCCTCTCCAGCTTCTTCCCACCCTACCCCTGTGCTGTGACTGTAACTGCAGACCAGCTACCTGGGTCGAGATCTGGGCACTCTTTCCACATGTGTGTGACCCAGGCCAAGTTATTTAGCTGATTTCTTTATGGAATGGTCATTGTGCCTACTTTATTTTTTAATTTGACATGGTGATAACATCACAGGTTTGAGGTGTTCAGTGTCTAATTTGGCATCTGTATATATGACCAATGCCCACTAAAAGTCCAGTTTCCATTTACCACCACGGAGCTGAACCCCTTTACCTGATTTACCCCGCCCCCTTCCCCTCTGGTAACCACCATTGCGTCATTGAGAGTTTTTGTTTTGTTTGTTCCTTTGTTTTGTTTCTTTGTCTTACACACACAGGTGAAGTCATAGCTTATTAGTGAGCTTATTTTATAGGGTTGTAGTTCCACGTTAGCGTAGAGGGATGCTAGAGAAATGCCTGTTTTCATGTCGTTATTTAATACCATTATTTTCTAGTCGCCCCACCCTTACCCCAGTCCTCTCTGAGGGGTGCGGCCTCACTGGGGCTGCGTCCCTGTAAATGGGGCAAAGACTACTACTAAGGACAGTGACGTCGTGGGAGAGGCGGACTGACAACGAGAGATCGGGCCAGGTAGCGGCTAGTTCTGTCCCTTCCGCTCTTTGGAGCCCTGCTCCGCTCTTTGGACAGCCGTTTCCTCAACAATGTGACGTGCTGTTAGGCCCGAGGCAGTAACGGCATGAAAGCATTTCTAAGCAGCATCCTCTTCTCTTTTCCTTCCCCGCCCTGCCCCCTCGGCAGCGCTGCTCCAGAGACAGAGGCCGGAAATGCCTAAATAAAGGAAGTGGGCACTGATTGTAGGGGGTTCTGCAGGACAACAACAGACCTGAGTATTTCTGTACCTGGGAGCCAGGAAATGACTTGGGGAGAAGATAGTAGCTAGTGGGCAAAGCGATTGAGCTGGAAGGGATTATGCTCAGTGAAATAAGCGAGAAAGAAAAAGAAAAATATCAGATGCTTTCACTTAGAGGAGAAAGATAAGGAACCCATGCAAGGAATCAGGGAGAAAAAAGACAAAACCAGCAGTCAAACTCTGAATTGGAGACATTCGTCGGGGAGGGGGAGGAGAGGTATGAGAACAGGGGAGGGAAGGGCCCAGGCGCTGTGGTGATCGGGCACGGGTGGCTTGGTGGTGGGAATTACATGGGGACTACACCGGAGAGGAGAAAGCAAACACTGTCCAAAAATGAACAATGATGTAAAATATATAAATAAAAATGGGGAAAAAAGAAAATAGGTTTAAAAAAATAGGCAAAAGCGGATGAAAACCAGGCCTTCCTTTCTCAAACCCCATCCCAACTGCTTGCCTTGGCCTGTGGCTCACCTGAGTAGGTCGCGAGGCCCAGACCTGCGGGAAGTGGCTGGAGATGGATTGGTCCCGCTCTGCCTTGGCATGAGGCCATCTTGCTCAGATTCTGATCCTCCTGGTAGAACTCCTCAAAGAGAGCGAGGCATGCAGTAGCTGTGGAGATCTGGCACGTGAGGTGGTGACCTAAAAGCCGGGCTTCTCCTTGTCCCCCTGCAACCAGGGCCTCCCAGACTGGACTTCCTTTTCCATCCCTGCCTGCGGAGGGGTCTTCTCATCCTGGCGCTTCCCTCCTTCAGATTGGGCCATTTACTGATGACCTTCAAGTTCCAAGAACTCGCTTCTATTTTCTTATCTGTGTAATGAAGACAGTAATAGCATCAGCTTTCTAGGGTTTGGATGAGGGTTATATGAATTCAGTGTGTTGAGCACTACTCAGAGCAGTGCCTGGCATGTGTGACCGCTTCATCACCTGTGACATAGAAGTCTGCGTTGACAGAAAGAAGCACAAGCAGATTTTTGTGTCTCTTCCCTTTGGCTCGTCCTGCTCCCCAGATAATTGTGATTTTTTTAGTCCTTAGAGTTGATAGGTGGTTGGGCACAGATGTATAAGTAAATCCATAGGTAGGAATCTTTTACAAAAATTATACCAATTTAATCTTATTGAAACTTGAATGTATTAGGATGTTTTTCCATGTCAGTAAGTGCAGGACTATGTGATAGATACTTGGCTGGCCCCACTGTGTGTGTCTAGCTCCCTGAATGGCAAGTGAGGTTGTTCACACACTTTTCTGCTACAATAGTCTGTGCAACAATGGCTACCCTGTTCACACCCCTCTGGGCACCTCCCTGCTTGTTTTCTTTGTTTTCCTTATCATAAATTCCTAGATCTCTTACAAGGTCAAAGTGTAGACTTGCCAATCCAGGTTGAGTAAGACTGGGTATGGCTTTAATTGCCTCTCTGATGAGGGAGGCTCCTGTATTTATTGACTGCTCACATTCACTCTGTGTGCATTCATCCCTTCGCCGACTTCTTGGTGCATCTCAGTTAGTTCCAAGTGCTGCTGCTCCGTTTGGAGCCTGGTCATTGTCCCCGTGGGGTCACCTCTGAGGACCTCAAAACCCCTGTGAGGGAGACTGACCATTCGTCCCCTGACATGTTGTCCCTGGGCCTGGGTGGGCAGGAAGGGGATGTCCTTCTTTAGAGTACGTGGACCTCTGGCCATTATCAGGCAGCTGAGGAAAGTGGAAACAGAGCCCCTGGAGAACATTCTGTCTGCTTCGGTGGCACAGCCATCCTGAGCTCAGAAGTGGGCTTCTCCTTCCTCCACTGGAGGTGGCCGGCTCATCAGCTGGCAGGAAAACTGCCACCGTGCGGGAATAGTGTCCCAGAACTCTCATTCAGTGTTCTCCCCCTTTGTCTGGCCCTGCAGCACACCTTGCCCCTCAGAGGCACTTCCTTGCCGCAGGGCTGTTCCAGCCTGAAGCTGGGTGAAGGGTGGTGATCAGGGCCACAAGGGAATTCCCTGAGCTGGACTGGGCCCACAGCTTGCCTGGTAGCCACATGGCTGGCTCCCTTGTCACTCATGTCCAGCTGAGTGGGCCTCCCAGGGCTCAGCTAAGGGAAAGACGGGCTTCCTCCCACTCAGCTGTCAGTGGAAAGGGAAGGAAACACATTGGAGGCAGAAGAGAAGGTACAACTGCCTCTGAGGCTAGACAACTCGAAGACGAGAAGAGACTCTTGGCCTTTCTGTGTGGTGTGGGCCTTAATCAAGGTGGTTCTAGCAGCCCGGGGTCAGCCGCATCCTGGTTTCAGCGGCACCAAGTCCTTGGAGCCTGGGGTCAATCCCGGTGTTGTGTAGCCCAGCACCTGCCAAGCATTCCCGCATCCCAGGGTGAGCAACCTCTAGCTTCCTGCCAAACATGCACTGTGCAAAACGATCTCGAGAAGCTTCTGCCAGTCCCCAGATGATCTGACATAGCACCAGGCCTCTGCTCAGAGAGATGCAGATTCCAGTCAGC